AACATTATATTAAGAATAAATTCAAAGTTCTAGATATTCTTGAATTTATAGTTTAAGAATAAAATTATCTTTTAAACATTTTTTTTTCAATTTAAACATAAAAGGCCTTTCAAACAAACTTAAAAAAAAAAAAAAAAAGTAAACAAGTTTGCCGTGATGAGCCCTTCAAATAGAAAATTAGCATACAGTTAACCACTAATTCAACTTTTTTGGCCTTTTGATTACAAAGATGGTGGAAAAGTATTGGACTCGGAGAAAAGCTGAGGTTTACAATAAGGGATCGAATAGTAGAGATTTTCTTCTGGACAGTGGGACAAGCTTTTTAACTCCAATGTGGACAGAAGATTGATGACAAAAGTCAATGCATTAATAACTGCAATTGATGACGTTTATGATGCGTATGGCAAATTTGAAAGAGCTGCAACTAATTACAGAAGTGGTTGATCGGTTAGCATTTTACGTTTATTATTTATTATTTCATATACTTCCTATGTCTCTATTTTTTTTTTTAATGATTCATTTAAATACATTCACGCTCCCAAGTGCAACAATAGGTTCAAAACTAGACCTTTCGCCCCATAGGAAGGCGGTGTTGTTGCTGAGGCAACTTGTCATTAGCCCTATGCCTCAATTTATAAGTATTTTTTTGGACAAAATTACATATTCTAATAAAATTTATTAAATATAATTTATAATTTTAATTTTTCTTACTTCCTTCCTATCACAATATATGAGATCTTCTAGAAGCCTTGTAAATATAAGAAATTGAACAATTTTTATAAGTATTTTTTTAATTATAATCCAACTTTATTTTACTCATTTTGAAAACATAATGATTGGAATTTCAATTGTCATTGTTGAGGTACTTCCATAGGGTATTTAATGAATATATAATTGAAAAGATGTAATTATTTTAAAAAATTTAAGATTTTAAATAACGTTTTTTTAAGAATTGTAGATTAATTATCAACACCCTATATTATGTTTTAGAGGAAGTATAAATTTTAAAAATATCCTTCATTGATAAAAGAGAGAGAGAGAGATAAGTATATTTAAGAAGTGAAATAATGAGGGTAATATTGTGATAATTATCATTAATAGAACCTTAATTTTTTTAAAAAAATATCTTATATTTTGGGATACCAAATGACATTCAAAAGTGTCTTATAAAATGGAACGAGAGTAGTAAAATACTTTCTCTGGTCTTATTTGTAATGCAAAAAAAAAATATTTTTTTATCTTATTTATAAGTCACCTCATTAACTTTTCAACACAAATTTTTCCTTTTATTTTTTATTGAATGTTGGAGAGAAAAAATATGTTATTAAAATATGTATATTTATTTAATAAGAATAAAGGTAAAAATTAGACAAATTTTTAAAATTTTTTAATTTTAATAAAATATGTTAAAAGTAACATATAAACTGAAGAAAAGGATAAACTTTCATGGCAAGTTACCTTTCTTTCCATTTAATTATCCTAATAACATGTGTCACCATCATTTGCTTTTTGATTGCATTGGTGGGATGTAAATGCCATGGATGTACTTCCATATTACATGAAAATATGCTTCCTTGCTCTTTATAACTTTGTTCATGACGTGGCTTTTGACTTCCTTAAAGACAATGGGTAAAACATCATTCCACACCTTAAAAAAGCGGTATGGATTATTTATTCATGATTTCATATATATTCTATATCATAAAAATTAAAATTAATTAAATTGAGGGGCATTTGGTTTAACTGGTCAAGGGATTTGAATCAACTTATTTAAAGATATTGATTTTGAATCTTGAAATATACAATCGCATTAAATAAATATATTAAAGGCATCACCGAAGTACTTATAGGCCACTATTGGTATAATAATCCCACACAATGAGAGTTGGGATTAATTTAGATGGAAGAAGGTAATACTTTAAATTTCTCAAGATACCAAACAATATAGAATAAAAAACATTGATTAAAACACATTGATTCTATATTTTCATGTTTTAATTAAATTTTGTGTGTCCAATTTGTTTTCAGTGGGCTGATCTTTGCAAATCATATTTGGTTGAAGCACAACGGTACTCTGATGACTATCAACCAACCCCACAAGAGTACTTGGAAAATGCATGGATTTCAATTAGTGTGCCTGTCATACTCTTCCATGCTTATTTTTCGCTCCATGCTTCAAGAACAAAGGAGAACTTTGTTTCCTTAGAAGATTATTATGAAATTATTCATTTTTCAGCAACCATTTTTACGCCTTGCCAATGATTTGGGAACATCTAAGGTATCGTATACAATAGCATCCTTTAACTAGTTATTTAATTAGAGCTTAAAATAGTAATTTTTTCCTTTAAATTATAATCCTATGAATATCTAGAGTCCTAAACTTATTTTTGGTGCATTTTCACCTATAAATATTTAAGATTGTGCAATCTTCCTTCTATCATTAATTTTAACCATTAGTTGTTTAGAAAAATATTTCAAAAATTACATGAAAGAATCCAAAATTACAAATAAATTATGCATATATATTATATAATATTTGTAATTTTTGGGTCCTTTTCTTTATTTGTAATATATTATATAATGTATAAGTATTCTTTATCTGTGATTTTGGGTTCTTTTATATGATTCTTTTGGTTTTTTCTTGTAATTTTTGAATCAACTAATGGCCAAAATTAATGGAAAAGTGGAGATTGCCACAATTTTAAATATTTACAAGTGAACATGTACAAAAAATAAATTTTGGATCCCAAATGCTTTTCATCAACCTATACTTTAAGGGCCAAATTTTTACTTTACCCCTTAATTAAATTCCAAGAATAGCATGATTTATGGTATTAATTTGTCTTCATCTTTAATTTTGTTAGCGTGAAAAGGAGACGAGAGACGTACCCAAATCAACTGAGTGTTATATGAATGAAATTGGGGCTTCTGAGTCCAATGCTCGTAGGCACATAAATTTCTTGATATTTGAAACTCGGAAGAAGATAAATAAAGAAGTTTTCAATTCTTCTTACTCAGAGAGTTTCATTCAAGTTGCTGAAAATCTTGCTAGAATATCTCTCTACATGTATCAACATGGGGATGGGCATACTGATCAAGATCCTCAGACTATGAATCATATAATGTCATTACTTTTTTAACCTCTATCAAGGGAGGGAATTCAATTAAGCTTAAGAATATGTATATGTGTTTGGAACAATACTGATACTTTGATATGTTATTAGAATTTGTGCTATGAAAGCAAAGAATGCATGGCTTAGCTAAGTGGCCATGCTAGCTTAACCAGTAATCGTGGGTTTGAATTCTCAACACGTAGCATCATTAAATAATATTCAATCAAAGAGTTTTGCCACCCTTGTTCTTCTTCCCGCTCGATTCGGATTAGTTGAAATTCAATGTAGCTTCTAGATATTAGATGAATTGATATCATTAAAAAGAAAATTGTGCCATGGAGATCACCATTTTTCCACAAATATGAGACCACATCATTGTTGTTCAATACGACAAATAATAATTTTGCTTTATAATTAATAATTATGTTTTATATTTGGAATATTAAGTAAAATGAAACTTTATCCTTTTAAAAATAGATAAATAATTTATAATTTTACATTGGTAATTTGGTCATTACATTATTATAAACATAGTAGTATCTAGAATTATATTTTTTTTTTCACATTTTCACTCTTAAACATTTAAAATCATGACAAATTACCCCTAAATATTTTTGGTGCATTTTCACTCCTTAAATGTTTCAGGTTCTTGCAAATGTCGACCATATAAAGAGGAACAAACCTAGAGTAATGAAAGAGCAGAGCCAGACTAGCAAAGTAAACTTAAAATGACCAATAAAATGCTTAAACGTTTTGCATGTATCATTGTAGTGAAAAAAATTATATTCAAGGCCATTGAGTAAACACCTCTCTTAATGGATATTCAAACCATTACTTGCCATATTTTGACTTAATGACTAAAAAACTGAATCGAATTGGCCAGATCATTGGCCAGTCAAATTAATGGCTTGGTCAAACTAAAAAAATAGTTTGGGGAGTGGACTCGGATTAAACTGTTTTGGACTGGCTTTTGGATCAAAAGCTAATATCAAGTTAGGAATCAAATCCGGTCTTCAAAAACTAAACGACTCAAAAAATAACCTATTTTTTTAATCATTTAATGTTATATTTTATCATGTGGCTTGTTTAGTTATAATAAATTTAAAATATTTAGTTTTACTTTTAAGTTAAGTAATAATTTTATATTTAATTTTTATATTTAAATTATTATATATATATATATATTTTAGTTTAATTATTATGTCTTGATCAGTTAGATCATGCGAATTGTAAATTATTAATCTTTTTAATTTAATATTTAATTTGATTTTGAAAACATTGATTTGAATCCAAAAATGAGCAAGATCCAAAAGATAAGCCCGATAAGAGAAGACGTGAGACATGTCCAGGAAAATGAGAGGTTGACCCATCAAAGACACGAATTGCGTGACCAATCAACCACTGAGAGCATAAAAGTCTAGTCAACGGAAAAAGCATAATGAGAGAAAAAAATCGTCAAGTTTTTTTTTTTTGGCTGATCCACTTATTCAAATAAGTTACAATATAATGTTTTGGTTTTTTTTTTTTTGATAGATTGTTGTATTAAAAAAATCTACTGAAAATAATAATATATTTATCGGAGTGAAAGAAAAGTTAAGAAATAAGATTTACCAAATATTAGAAAAGAATGAGAATGAACTTTTTTTAAAAAAGACATTAGATATATTTAAGAGTTTTTTTAAAAAAATTGTGGTGAAAATCTTGTTTAAAAATTTTTATTTGAAATAGAAGAATTTTTTTTAGAAGAGTTGATAAAAAATTTATAAGTATAAATTGATTATAAAAATTTATAAGTATAAATTAATAAAAAAATTATTTAAAGTAATTAATTTTCATCGTATAGCCAAATTCTTCCTTAATTAATTATAACCCCGACAAAACCCTGTCTGTTAGGAGCGGATCTAGCTCTCGTCGTTAGCCCGGCATTCCCCACTCCGTCGGACGCCGTCCACCTTTGTCGGCTCTGCGTGGTTGTTCTGGGCAAGCAGTGAAGAATGTTCGAATCCTAGGGCTTTTTCTACTCCCAAAATCCGGTGAGATTGATTTGTTTAATGTGGCTTTGAATCTAGAATTGAATTTATTCCCCGCATTATCTGTTCCCTGCGTGGCTGTTCTTTCTTTCTTTTTTTTTTTTTTAAATTTTCATTTTAATTTGGCTTTGAATCTGGTCTTCTAATCGTTGAATATTGGCGCTTTTGAATTGGGAATTAATATATTGAGTTTATTTTTTGTACTGGTCTTCTAATTCGTTGAATATTGGCGCTTTTGAATTGGGAATTAATATATTGAGTTTATTTTTTGTACTAGTTTTTGCTTGAATGATGTATAATCGGCTATTGTACTTTTTCCCTCTTCATTTTGATTACTAGCGACTTGTATGATTTGGATTGTGTTGTCTTGCAATGTTGGATTTGTTGTGTATTGGCATTCTGTTTATTAATCTTTTTATATTATCATCAGTTTTGGAAATTCTCAAGGTAGTTGTGATGTTTGGTCTTGTAAATGACTTGGTTCGAGCTGTGTCAAAGTATCTGGAACAAAAATTAAAAGGGGTGGGGGCATCTGCCTCCACTGAGCGTAGTAAAGGTTATGGACAGAGTGCTACAGTCTCATTTATACACTTGTCTATGATTTTCGCTCTTGCTCTTCTGCAGTAATGAAGGCATATCAAATTTCATATAGTTGATTGTTTTTTTTCTTTGCAAGTATCAAATTTGACTGGAATTTTCATTTTCTTGCAGTTAGCTATATACTAAGAACCAGGAGAATCTGGACCTGCTTATAATGTTTCTTCAACGAATTGTAGGTTCATGTCCTCCCTTGAAGAGGATGTTTTGCACTTACAGTGGCCGTGACCTTGCAAGTGATATTCAAGAACTCAACGAGGTAAAATCCTTCTTTACTTCATCCTGTGCTGAGATTTTGACAATGTAGTTGTTCACGTTAAATTTCATACACTATTTCAGCAATTGGAGTCAATATTTGGTCAACCTCCTTCAAATAGATTTGATGGCGCTGTGGGTAATGGTCCTGCAAATAACCCAAAAACATGTGAAAGTACTTCTGGTTTGACTCATACCAGCACTAGTGGGGAGGCTCAAATGGTGGATGTGTCCCCAAAAGAAAATACTAAAAGAACTGCTATTGCGAGTTGCAAGGTAATTCTTGGAAAGCATGTGTTTGATTTGGTTTTAGCAAATCAAATGGCCAAAGGGGATGTGCTTGGTGTGGCGAAAATCGCAGGCATAAGTGGTGCTAAGCAAACCAGTGGTCTTATTCCATTGTGCCATAACATAATTCTTAGTCACGTACGAGTGGATTTGGAATTGAATCATAAAGACCACAGTGTAATGATAGAAGGGGAAGCTGCAACAACAGGGAAAACTGGTGTTGAGATGGAAGCCATGACAGCAGTTACTATTGCTGGCTTAACAGTGTATGATATGTGTAAGGCTGCTTCAAAAGATATAGTTATTACAGATGTGAGACTAAAGCATAAAGCAGGTGGCAAGAGTGGGGATTGGTCATCGGGACAGTAATGTTTCAAAAGATATGGTGATGTGCTAGTTTGGACAACACAACAAGAAAGAAGCACCTGAATGGCGGTATTTGTACTTTTTATTCTTATTTTGATTCAATGGATGCTTTGGACAATAATGAAATGCATTTGCCTTATCCCCCTTCCTCCTCCTGCTCCACCCTTTTTTTTATGGCCTCAATTTCGACATGATAATAACATGAAAAATACTGGATTAGTGTTGAAGGGGCCTTTATTTGTCATGGAAAACATGGGTTTGCCAGGGGTATGGCATACTTGGTTGGGCGTGTGTATAACTATTCTCTTAGTGGAGTATCTAATTCTGAAATGCATAATTAGTGGAATAATAAATAGGGAAGACTAGAGTGATTACTTTGGAACGAAAAATATGAATCAATTTGATTTTCCTTCCTTTTAATCTTGCTACATTAACTTGCACCTAAGCATAATATCCCATTAAACTAAGCTTCTCATTGTTACTCTAGTATTAGGTAGCTAGAGCTAACTAATATTCATAAGTATTAGTTTGAATAGAACTAATTATTAAACTACTAAATAGTTTTATGGTAACTATTCTGTGGAATAGTTGAATAGTTAATGTTTAAGGCACCGTAAGTTGTATCCCTTTTGAGTTTGGCCTTAGACTGAATACCATTTACCCTCTCTCTTTTCCTCTTTTTTTCCTCTTTTTAGATAATATGAAGACCTTTTACTTGGTAGTGGTGGATTATACTTGAGTTCTCTCCTTTGACTTAGATCTATGTTTTTATTTTGGGAGTTTTTGGGACATAAGCAAGAAAAATAGATTAACAATTAAACTGAAACTCAATATAAAGTTCAAGAGGAAAATATGATATGGAGAAGAAACAAGTGGATTTAGTGTATAATTGTATGTGTTAATGACAATTTGAAACCTCTCCAACTATTTAGTCTGTGTAACTGGGAAAAGATATAGGGAAAATTACATATAGATTCCATGTAAGGAACTTATTTACAAATAAGTCCTGTGAAATTTAAAAAATACAGCCAAATCCTTTGGGACCTGATTGCGATTTGGGTTTCATGTGTAAAGACTATATTGTCCCTGAATGGAGAGAAAGTTATTTGGCTGTAAAAACATTTTATCCCTACCCCACAAAAGTAGAAAACCCTGAACTCACACATTTTTACTTGCTGCTACCACCCTCAACAAGTATCAACTAATAAATCCATGAAGAACAAGGGTGGAGGAATGAGAAAGAGGATGGTGCTAGCGATTCCTTGATGGTGAATGTGAAAGAGGACAATTAAGAAAGGAGCGATTCTTCAGCGAAGCAAACCCAACCCAACCCACAACGGATGAGAAAGAGAACCAGAAATTTGGGAGTGAACCTCAGCCACCCAACCTGTAGTGAAGCAAGAAGTGATTTTTCAGTGGCTGCAGCTAAAGCTTAGTTTACCATAGCTAATCGGCACAAACCTTAACATTTTGGTATGTTATTCTGTTCCTTTCTGTTCTGCTGCACGTTTATATATTTGAATGAAAGGGAATAGATGACTGTTATAGGGATGAGTATGTGACTAATTTTTGGCTAATGTGGGCTCTCTAGTTTCTCTTCTAAATCAGAGTCCTCCATCTCTCATGTTACATACTTGTTATAGTGACAAGTTAGTTCCGTAGTTAGTAAGGGTATAATAGACAACTAGGAATTCTAGTGAACCTATGGCTATATAAGGGAATAAGGAGTCGTTGTAAAGTGTGTGTAATCTGAATGAACATAGTCAGTTCCTATTCTACTTCTCTGTTCTCTTTTCTCACCTTTGAACTCTTATCTCTCTCCTTCTACCTACCGCCTATCTCTCTCTTCTGATGTAACACACACTCACATATACTTGCAGAGATCTGAACAAAGGGAGAGTAGGGAGAAATGGAAACATAGAGTCTGAAACGAGAATGAGGAACAGAACAGTAGGGGCAACAAGAAAGGGAGAGGCCGAACACAGAGAGAGGAGGAAGGCTATCAGAAACTCAATCGCAATATTTCATTCATCAAGTCTAGTCTATCTTACAAGCGCAAGGCTTAGTCTATTTAAACTAAGCTTTCCTACCTATTAAGGAGACCTTAATAACCTATCCATATAAAGCTAAGTTACAGATTTCCTCTTACCAAAATAAAACAAAAGGAGACCTATTTCTTCCTAGAATAAGCCACAACCCAGGTAGATTTCTTACAAGCCAAAACAAAATACAATAATGATACACTAGCCTAGGTTTCTTTAAAATACGTTGTTGTTATATTTCATCATCCTCCTCTCTATTTCTCTCCCTTTCTCTCTCCTGTCAGACACAACATCCTGGAAGCCCAACGACTATTTTCTTAACTAGGTAGCTCCTGTATGAGTTTTAGGACATTGATTTGTTTTGCTATAAAACATACGATCATACTTTTTCCTTTCCTTATATGATGAATTTGGATTGACTTACTGAAGCTTGGTTGTTTTTAAGTTTATGACTCGATTGAGATTATTTTTTTCTCCCATTTGTTTATTAATTGTTATTTGTTTGTTTGTTTGTGCTTCCCTTCTTTCATGATTTAATTGTTAGAGGTGGCCATTTTCTTCATATTTCCGCTAATTTCCTTGTTCAGATTTGGAACTTTGGATGGGCGGTGAATATTTTTCTGGTCTATATAGAAGAGTATGCCTGCAAATTAAGGACAAGCTCAAATAAACTAACTTGTTTTTTGTCTTGTGGTTAATTAAATAATTTTGTATCAATATCGTAGTTATTGATAATCTGTCTTCCATTACGAACTTGTATATTTTATTAGGTTTATGCCCATTTGAATAAAATTTTGTGACTAGTATTGTTCAAGCTACTATGCTCTAGGCCTGCTGGGGCAATTTTTCTTTTTTTTTTAATCCAAAATGTTGTGATTCTACCTGGATTATAAAGGTCCATCCATCCATTCTAACTCGTTTTATTAAATTGCTAGTGCCTGTAATCGATAATTGAGTGGGTGACCAATTGCATTGCTTCATAGCAAATGCTATATTTATTTTTATTAAATGTTTTGTAGCAATTGTTCATTTCTTTTTAAAAATTAGTACGTGACAATCCGCACAACCTATTGTTTAATTTAAATGTTGTATGGGAAAAGTTGACTTCTAGGGATGATTTGCAAGTGATTATGCTATTTTTACATGTAAGTTGTTTATGATTCTAAACCAATTTGGGTTAAACCTCCATAATCTCCAAGTATTTAAAAGTAATGGTAATTAAAAGTGAAATATTTCCAACTTCCAAGTCAAAATTAGTAATTTACAAATCTTTTTATGTAGTTTACATGTTAAACTGTTTGATTTGAACACATGGTTCGTGCATGCGAAAATAGTTTTCTTTACTATTTTTCATCTTACAAACCTCTTGGAACAAGAAGTCAACTTAAAGCATTTACAAGCGAGATCTCTAATTTAAAAATATGGGATTTACAGGTTACCTTCTGTTCTTAAAATGTGATATAGTTTGATCTGAACATATGATTTATGCAGGTGAAAATGACAAACCAAAGGCTTATTGACATTGTTTATACCTTATGTTGTTACTAGAGTTCTGGATTTATGATTCCCTACTTTTGTAGTTGTTGTAGATATGGTATTTAGTTGTTTTTTAGACTATTTCGACAAATATAGAGATTAAAACAAACTCCATCATATATGTATGTATGTATGTATGTATGTATGTATTTTTTCTAGATATTGTATTTATTGTTTTTTAGACTATTACGACAAATATAGAGATTAAAACAAACTCCATCTTGGTTCCCTTTTTTGTCATGCATGGCTGCGAGAGGGAGGGAGAGTTCGACTGCCCCCTTCGTTCATCTTCCTACACCTACGTGTCCATCAGTCACCGTGGGCATGTCGGAATTTTCTTCCTCCTTTGTCCGTGCCCCTGCCGTGGGTGCGACAAATTCTTTTTCACCCTTCCTTCTTATGTTTCGTTCTTCTCCTCTTTGCTTGTTCCATTGACACTTCACTGAGTGCGCAGAGCTTCAATCCTTCTTCCTCACTTGATCTTGACGTTGCTGTGCTGAGCTCGTTTCTCCCTTCTTCCTCTTGCACAAACTGGTGTCTGAATATGCTATAAACTCTTGTTCTTTGCTGCTATGTTCTTGTGTATTAGTAGCATGTTCGATTTCCCATTTCTAGTCTATTTGTTTTGGTGCATGGAGGATTTAGGTTGTGTCGTATTGGATTTAAATTTATAAAGATGTCTGGAAGCTGGGGCCTGAGCATTTAAGGGTAAGAAGTTTGATGATTTTTCTTTTTTTGTTTTTTTTTTTTTGGTATTCATGGTTGCACATGAGGTGTTTGATATGAAGTTTTAATGTAAATTTATTGGATTTACATGTTATAATTAGCACGTGAAGTTGTTCCTTTTGTAACTTCAAGGAACTATAATTAAAAGTTAAAAATAAGGAAAATTTAGTTGTATTTGTATATAAAAAAAAATGTGCCCGCTCTTTTTGTGTGTGTGAGGGGAGAGAGAGAGTGATGGAAGCATAAGTTTAATTATGATTATGGCGTTCGTTAGGAAAGTATTTACTCTCTCTGTTAAAAAATGTAAGGCATTTTTTAAAGAATTGAATGTTTAAATATGTAAGTCATTTTTAATCTTTTGAGGTGTAATCATTGTTTTTTTTTTTTCCAAAAGTGCCTCCTATTAATGGTGACTTTATATTTATTATAGGGTAGTTAATATGGGCAAATATGGAAAGATAGGGTTACTTTAAAAGTAGGTAAGAATTTTATTAGGAGGTAAGATTCAGTTAAAAATGCCTTATATTTTTTAACAGAGAGAATATACAACTAACGATAGAATTGGAGAAATTTTGGGGTGTAAATCATGGTGTCTTGGAACTTTAAGTTGTTGCAGTGATTACATTTGTGTTTAATATTGAGAGTGTTTTTTTAACTTGTAGACAATATATTAAATTTCTATTATATATTTAATAGGGTGTTTTGAAAAAGAGAAATTAATAGAAGTTGTGGGGAGTAAAATTTTGAACCTGGAAATATGTCAAGTAAAGGAACAGCATTCCAATCATTATAGGCAAGTTTTTATTTTGTCAAGATTACAATTGAGTATGTGCAGACGCGCGCGCGCATATTCTAGAAATAGTTTACTTGCAGTATATCATGTTTTTATTGTTGATTATTTCTTTATTAAAAATATCTTAATTATTTCAAAACATGATATGTTGGAGAAGGATTAGATTTACTTTATGAATAGTTTATTTATAGCTGTCTATAATTAAAGAAAAACATTTGTGCAATTGCTAATGATTCTTACTTAAAGAAATTCATGCATTGAACTGGAAAAGGAAGTTTAGATTGATCAAAATAAAGATAGTTGCTTTAAAGATTTTATAATTAGATAGGGTAATTTTCCATGCATTTTTGAAGAAAATTGAAGGATTGATTTTAAAATATTAGTGCTAATGACAGTCCTGTTAAGTTTTGGCGCACCATAAGTAAAATCTAGCTTGCTTGGTATTCTTAAGTATTGTTTTCACACTTATTATTTGTGAGCATCGTGTTCATGTTTTTTATTTGTAAGTCTTATGCCTACATTTAGTTTTGTGACTTCCAATCATGCCTAATTGATTATTATTATTGTGAACTATACACTCATGCTTATTCGTTTTGATGGTCTTGCTAAAGAACTAGTCAAGAAATATATATTGTCTTTAAACAAATTTTGTTAAACTAGTTAATTTTAATATATGGATTTTTTTGAGTTATACAACTCCTAGCTGGTTGATGTAGAGATAGTTGGAAAGTGGAATTGGATTATTGTGTTTTCATCATATGAAGATGTTTTTGGATTAAGTATTTATATGAAATTATTTGATCTATGAGGTGTCACTCCTGTTATTCTATATGATTATTTTAATTAAATTCATACTTCATTAATATAGCATTCCTTTATGTCCTTTAATTTTAAATTGGAATGTTGTTTAGTGAAAAGTATAGTTAAACCTGTTTCATCATTGAGGAGCTTTATTGCTAAATTGAAGTGAAATAATTATTTTGGATAAATCTTAACTAGATCTAAATTTGAATTTATGTATTATTTTTGTATTTTGGTCCTAATTGCTCTACGGGCTATAGGCAAGGCAAGGTCCTTGTATTTCTTACAAGATTATTTATTTGTTGGTAAAGAACGAAACTCTTTTTGTTATATTGTTGTTGTCCTTTATTGTTGTAAAATTTCAGGAAGTCTTATTTATGGAAAAAGTTTTGTCAAAATTTTTAAAATTTTTAAAAGAAATTTATTGTTTGGTTTATGTGAAAAATATTAAAGATATTATATTTGATATTATAAATATGCCTTTAGTTTTGCATGTAAAATTTGTGTTCAAGGCTGAGAGACGTGTTTCTTCAAAAAAAAAAAAAAAAAAGCGCTGAAGAGATGTGAACTTTCTCATTTTTCGTTTACATCAGAAGTTTCAGTGTGACATTGCCTCGACCCCGGTTTTACTTCAATCCAACTCTATTTCACTTCCATGGCTCCTAAACCAATCATAACTCATTTCTAGTGACTCAGCACCTTTCTAGGGTTCTTAGACACTAACAGTCTCACGCTATTACAAAAACAAAAAAAAAAAAACAAAAAACAAAGAATGACTTACTTATGAAATTGAATACTTATGAGAAATATGAAAAATTATTCAAATTTACCTTATGAGATATAAGGAATAATTAGAGGTTAGATAGGTCACACGTGGTATCTTTATAATTATTTTGTACGTTAAGTTATTAATTTTTGTGAAAAAATTAAAAATTATTCAAAATGACTATTAACAAAATTTATAGTTAAAATTATTTTTTATCAAAATATTTTTTTAAGATAATTGAAAAATTATAGATTAAATTATTTTTAAGAAGAGGAGGGAATTTAAAATTTTTCGAAAAAATATGGAAACGATAAATAAATTACATACCTAATTATTGTTATTTAAAAAGTAAAAATCAAATTTTAAAATTGTCTAAAATATTTAGAAGAAATAATTTAATAATTAAAATTTAAAATTTGTTTCATTTTATGTTTATTTTCTTAGAAAAAATAATATGTTATTAAAAAAATATAATATAAATAGTCATGTAAATATAATTATTTTGTCATATTGATAATTATAAATAAAATATAATATATGTGTATTTTTAATAATATATTATTTGATATATGTGTAATTAAGTAATATATATATATATATATATTTATATAATTTTTCTTGTAATGACTATCAGTGTATTTTAATTTAATTGGCAAAGGAGGGTATAAATCTTAAAAGGTAAAAGATCAAATGTCTAAGTCTTAGTATTGACATATAAACATAATAAATATGTGACATGATATGAGTTAATACACATATAATAGGTGAAATGGTGTAATATAGCCTGCATAATGTCATGAGTTGACGCTCAACACATGTGGCTTCAAGTAGCATGTGGTATGCTATGTG